TCATTGGAGAATGGCCAGACTGCTGCAAGCTGATAGAAAAGTAAAAGTAGCCAAAATAACCATTTTACGATCAAGATATGCAAAAGAGCATCTCTGAATGCACAACTCAAGAGTATTTACAGCAACTTGTTAAATCTGTGACACAGAGAATTAAAAATGCATAGAACGGCGATGTTCTTTAAGGGACATTAAAGTAAAATAAACATATCTTGAGAATTTACAGCCTAAAGAGATTTCAGCAGGATTCCTGTCTTTCTTCGTTTGAAGGATCAGCACAGAGTTCTATTGCAGTAAATCTTTTATATTCTTCAATGCCTCCATCAAAACAACTTGTCTTCTTCACTGAAATAGGCAGCACCCTGATTGGGTGTCCCCAAGAGTATCGTAGAGTATCCCCAAAAGCTAAGGAAGAAAGCCAGAGTTAACAAAGAAAGTTACTAATTGCCCTTATGATAGCTGTCATCTCTTGCTTCAAAGTATATCCCCCTTCTGCAGGGGTTGATGTATGAGCCATAACACAACACTTCTTGAGTACTTTGACTCTGTGACCAGAAAGTTGGTACCACAAGCCAATGGAAAGTTTTGGCGTTTGTTTTTTTTGTTTTGTTTTTTTCCCTAGAGAGTGTTTTGTTACACTCTTGATTTATGGCTTTTGTCTGGGCTTTGCTGTTAAAGACATATTTTTCTCATCTCTGTATTTCTTTCACTGCAGAGGACCTAACGGAGAAGGCAGCAATTGAGAAGAGTGCAGAGTGTTGCAGAAAGATCCTCAACCACGTCAACGAGGAAGTCAAAGTGATGGAAAACCTGTTGGTAAGAAATGCTCAATTCACCACTCAGCCAACAGCTGTGTGATAACTTGGCACCAATTGAAGTTTTGTAAATGAATTTTGAGACTTCTTTAGCTCACTGCTTATAAGAGTACATCTTTTTCTGTGCTATCTTATCAAACAGACCACAGTCTGACTCCTTATCATTCTCTCTGTTCCCAGACTCTGAGGGAATACCAGCGCAAATTAGACACATCAGGACTAAAACCCAGTAATGAGCTCTATAGTGAATATAGGGTGGGTTTCTTTCAACTAAACTTGTCTTTACACACAGTGTTGCAATATTCCTTTTTTTTTCCTCCAAGATTTTGTTGAAACATATTCATGTTATTCTCCTCCTGTCTGTACTAGAACATTGACTTGACTCAGAAGAAGATGCTTTATGAAGGCCCACTGATATGGAAAGTCACCAAAGAAAAGGCTGTTGGTAAATATGTGCTATATTACAGGCCTCTCTTTCACAGCAACAAGGTCAAACATTTCAATATATTGCAAAGTCATTTTTGAATTGAATTTTCAATAAATGCCTTAACATTGTGGGGAGCTCCACATGTTCCCTCCCTGAATTTAGTTCCAATGGATTTGTCTCTTTGTGGTTGTTAGGCAAATGTTCAAACCACTATGCTTTAGAAACACTTAATATATATCATTTATTTAATACTTTTCACACTTAAATTAAAAAAGATTTTTAAAAAGAAGAAAAGATTTTGTAGAACGTCATACAGATTTTATGTCTTTCACTTCTCTTTTATGAACATCAAAATCGGCAAAAAAAACAAAGAAACAGACTGAGATAGTGATTTATTTACTTCCCCTTTAGCATTATTTCAGTTGAATTACTGAAATTTGGCAAGTTAATGAGAATCAAATAGGCAGCATAATGGTTGGCCTGTTGCCTCACAGCAAGAAGGTCCCACTCTTTCTGTTCCCTGTCCTTCAGAGGTGCAATGTGTGTTGCTTGCGGACTTACTGGTGCTCCTCCAGAAGCAGGATGACAAGATGGTCGTCAAATGCCACAGTAAGAGTAACATCGCTGCGCAGGACGGCAAGCTGATGCTGAGCCCAATTATTAAGCTGGACTCAGTCTTTCTCCGTGATGTGGCCACAGGTTAGCAGTGCACCACAGTACAGTAGTTTGCAAGTCACTCTAATCGTAAGATCAGTCTTTGAATTGCTGTTTTCTCCTGTTGTGTCAGATCGAAAGGCTTTCTACGTGATATTTACCTGGGAAAGCGGCGCTCAGATTTATGAACTAGTGGCTCAGTCTGTTGGAGAAATGAAAAGGTGAATGCCAAAGAGAATTGTATTCATAAATCATGTTTCCTTTTGATTTCAAAACGCAGGATAATTTTTCCCCCGTATTTCCATATTTTTAGTTGGACTCAAGTGATAAAGAAAGCAGTGGATGACCTGAAGAAGAGTGGCAGCACAACCAAGAAGTTGACGGTGGCTCCTGGAGTTGGAGTTGTAGGACCTCCCTTCAGTCCCATCAGGTAAGTGTGTGTGTGTGTGTGTGTTTGTGTGTGTTGGAAAAAGTGAGAGATATTCATATCTTGCCAAAGTTTATTTATCTAAAAATCTAATTACCTTGTTTTTACTTTTTTTTCCTCCTTTCTTTTAGTCTGAATCCCCCTATGAGCCCGCTTGAGAATGGAGCTTTGAAAAGCAGCAGTGGTGAGACCGTTGTGACTGCACACCTACAAATTTGCCATGTTACACACTCATAAAGACATAAGCAAAATTTAAGACTTATCTCTGTCTGTAGATCAAGATAAGGACAACTTGAAAGATAAAAAGTCGACCGATCCCAGGCACAGGCTGATTGATTTCCTCTCTGACAAAGGGTTTGACTTGATAGGCCACACCAAAAATGATCAGGAGAAAGTGGCTAACAGTGCATTAGATGAAGGTGAATAGGGGTCTTCCTTGTACTTATATTCATGAACTATAAATGACGATCTTTTTGGCTTTACTTTCTTTCAAAGTAGCTTGCCTATCCTAATAAAACCAATGAATCTGTCTCCTCTGTTAGTCATGTCCCTGAAAAGGCTCCTCATCGGCAGCATCAGTCTATCAGAGGACTCACAACCTGATGAAGAAAATGAAGTAGGGCAATCAAAGGGCCCTGGGCAAGATGTGGAACAGCATCAGTTAACAGGTTTGGCCTGTTTTTTTGTCTTTCTTTTTTCTTTTCTTTTTTTCTTATTTTTTTAAAGGAATAGTTTCATAGCGATAGATGAAGAGAAGCTCAATACCACTCATATCTGTAAGCTAAATAGAGCCATCTTAGCTTAGTCTTGGTAGTTTTATCTGTACAACTTCCCAGAATATTTTTTTCTTAAGCAGTGACTTTCCTGAGTTGTTAACATTAGCGGATGCAGTAAGGCTAGCTGCTTCCTATCTCCTCTTGATGAATTGTTATTAAGCATTTAATGTTGAAACCTCTGGCATGTAGTTTCTTGTCCTTATTTTTCACCCTCAAAAACCCAGTGTTACCTGATTTTTTTTTTGAGCTTTTAATTCCCTTCAAATTGTTATTAAATATTCTACATATTAATCAAAAGTATTAAAGTATTTCTAATATCACAATTTGATATCAGTATATCCATTTTAAAAGCAGGATTGCAAATCCCCTCACGTTAAAGCAGGATTTTGTGTATGTGTGTACTATTCTATTTGATGCACTATTACAAGGAACTTACAATGTCAAAAGATTTTTGCAGTGCTAATTATTAATGGCCAGAATTTATTATTATTTAAAGACTGCTGACTCTTGACACTTTCAAACTAAATCTTCTCAGATGAAAGTCAGACCACGAACGAAGTAGCTGAGGAGACGAACCCCACGAGTACAGACAAAGAAGGTCAAAACCCAAAAGGAGACGATGAGAGCATCAGCGCGCCCCTGGTGCTGTCCCAGGAGAGGAAGGAGGAAGTGTGCAGGAGGCTACGCAGCCTGGAGGAACAACTAAAGAGACTACAGGTGAACAGAGGGGGAGATGGAGGGGAATATTGAGAGAAAACTGTAAGCAGGGAGCAGGACGTATGACAGGGGCAGATAGAAATGTCAGCTCTAACAAAAGATTGGAACTGACTAGAAAGAGACTCAGAGCTGGGCATCAAGATTTCAGTGGGGATAACTTGAGTAAGGAGTGAGCTGTGGACAAATGGGGCCAAATGGCACAAAAGAGAAACCAGAGAATAGAAAACCATTTAACTGCTGCTGTTATTGCTTTGCTGAAAATTGCCTTGTGAAATTGGACTTCTCTAAAAATGGCTATTATGTCCAGCACTTGCAATGGGATGTGTCAGAGAAGCAGCGAGGGAGACGAAGAGAGGATGCTAAGAGGAGAAGGTTGAATTGTGTGTGTGTTTGTGTGTTCTCAGTTCCTAAGGTTATATTGATTTTGTGTGTTACAGACTGTAGAAGAGGAACACCACAAGCTGCAGGAGGCCCTTTCCAAGTTCTCACTGGAGGGGGGCAGCTTCTAGTGACCCACCTTAATGCCTCCTGCTGGCCGTTAGGTGAGAACACTAAACTAGATAGTCATGTTAAGTATTGAATTGTCATTATGATTAATGGTATAGAGCCATTTCCACTCATGAATGGACAAGGTTAAAAGAATCAGGTTTAGCTTTTGGACAGCTTTTTTTTTTCACCCTGAAAAATATGTGCAGTGTTATAGTTAAGCTGTGTATATCTCAAGCAAAATCCATAAACAACTTGGGGCAGCTTGTACGTGGCCTGAGAGGTGAAGCCCAAGGCAAAAACAAAAACCACTTACTGCTGGTAGTTGCGACTATTGGCCGTGAGCTAATGGCAACATTTGAAGGTGACTGATGACAGCAGCTGCATTTTTATGAGCTCTTCTCAAGCTGCATTTGAATTTTTGTGACTGTAAAGTCTAAAGAATCAAAATGAGTCTACAAAAATACTAGATTTAAAAAAAAACAGGATTTATATTAAAAAAAAATGTTTGTTTTTTTGTTTGTTTGTTTTGTTTTCTGTGCAGGTTTTGACTGGTTCTGGTTTGGACTGAGTGACTTTCAGAGGCTTTCCTGGAAATTCCTATACCATCACGCGTCTATCACCGGACCATCGATACATTTATTTTTCTTCCCCTCTTGCGTATGTGTGTGTGGGTGTGTATGTCAGCTGTTTGCAGCCAATCAGAAGTTTTATTTTTGTTTTGTTTTTTTTCTCCTTTTACCAATTGGCCATTTAGGGACAGGCTTTGTGCACAGTGCAGTGGTTCAGTAATGGAACATGTGTATGTGTGCGTGCATGCTGGATAGAGGGCTATACAAAAAAAAAAAAAAAAACAATCCTAAATTGGGGTTTGAGGATGCTGTTAGTGAGAGGTGCCAAAGGAAATGAAGCAATATTTTGCTGTTAGTGAGTTGCTGCCTAAGAAAATATAGTGATTTGAGTCTGCTGTAACACACATACGCAAACCAGAAACATGCATGATGGAAAATAATTTACAATAATGCCAAATTCTAATGTACAGTAAAAGAGAGAGCCTTAAATGGCCAATATAGCATTAGGTCTATTGAAATACTACTACTGATATATAGTGTTATTTCTAGTCTATGCCAAAGTCAAACAGAGATGCACTTTTAATCAAAACAAGATGAACGCACACAGTTATTGCTAAATATGTTACTTTTAGCTCTGTATTCTGTATGGTTATTAAGGCACCCCTCATTATTGAAACGATGCATGCAAGAAAGTGTGTGTGTATGTGCGTTACAAATTTTTTAATTAAGGATATATTTCTTTGGATGATTCTTACTGTAATTAGGTCACATAAAAATCATTTATAAATAGTGGCAGTATAAGTAATCTTGCTGTTAATAGTGGAGATTTGTTTGTATGTACCGCTTTTATTTATTCCCTTGAGTCCTTGTGTGTCAGTGAGCTTCTTCACCTGAGTGAAGCTGATACAATGCCAGGCCAGAAACAAAAAGCGATGTGCAACTGTCGGACAAAAGCGAAGCTGGCGTGTGTGAAGCAGATCAGAGTGGAATAGAAAAGTGAAAGAACTGGGAACTGGTTTCAAGGTGGTTGCTTCTTAGAAACCTTTAATTTGATGGTCATGAGAGAGTAGAAAGTAGGAGGTTGGGATTTGTGCCCCTATATTAAAAAACAAAAAAATACAGAAAAAAAAAAAAATATGAAATATATAGAGCGCTCAGTATTACTACGCTCATATCATTTCAGAAGTTTCAACTTACCTTTAGAGAGGGTTCCCAAATGCTCTTTCAAAACACTTTAGTTGGGGTTATACTTTTCAGGCGTATTATGAGATCAGATTGATTTAGTATATTGAAAATTTGAGCTAAGGTGATATTTTATTGAGCATTGACTATGGTAATATAATTTCTGATCTGTGGCGTAACTGGGGCTGTGCACACAGGACCAAAGAAGTAACAGCAAACCGCTAGATCCTCATTTGTACAACAGCTTTATTAGTGATGTGCATCATCTGTGTAGTAGTGTGTCACAAAATGTTGATGATGATGTTGGGAATGGTGGCTCAGTAATGCAGTCTGGAATCAGCAGCCGCTTTTCTTCACCCCAAACACGAAGGGATTTTAAAAGGACATTGAATAATAAAAACACTTCTTTTTCTTTTTTTTTAAAGTTAATGTAAAGAAAATAACAAGATGAAAAACGTTAGATTATTTGGGATTAGTCATAAGACATGAACAATCTATAGGACTGGGAAGTTTAAAATTGAATGAAAAGGTTGCGCTATAGAGGATTAAGAGACGCACCGAACACGCCCCTGGTACTAAGCTGAACATATGGGGCTGATACTGACACAGCAGCAATACTGTAGCCAGATGAGGACACAAAGGAAATGCTGAAGGTCTGGAGGAAGGAAAACTGTAGACTCATTCATACAGAAGCACGTCAGGAGGCTCCTGTGGTGCATAAGAATGCACGTCAGGAGCACTTCCTGACATGCATTCTTATTGTTGTTGTTGCCACAACAACAAATGCCACCTTTGAACCTGCTGAACCTCACCGGGTTTGCTCATTTTGATCACTTAAGTGTTCATAGGCTTCAAAGACTATATATGATTCTAGCATCTCTCTCCACATATTGTTCTTTGGAAGTGTATATAAATGTAGTTTGAAGGCAAAAAAAGACAAAGACAAAAAAATAATAGCTCCCCTCTGTGTCTTAAGCTCTTTTTGTTTCTTTTTTTTAGCTACACACTCTTCTTCATAACACACTCACACCTTTTAATTGCGTAATCACTTGTTTCTACTGCACAGTTTTATCCTACATTTTGTGTATTGAGTCACTTAAGTAGGTTGGGGAGGGAGTATTTTCCACAGACGCTTTTGTAATTTTTTACTATGCATTTTCCACAATGGTGAGAGAGGCAGGACTTGCCTGTAACTTGTCTTTGCATTTTGATGATTGTGAATCAATTGAAAAAAAAAAATTCAGTGCCAACCAGCTCTGTACTGTGGGTACTATACCTCAGGCTACCCACAGTGCTTTTTAAGAAAAATGTAATGTCAGTGGTAGGCATTTGGAGTCCAGCTACCACCAGCTGATTCCTTCAGTCTCCACTGGCTCAACGACTACTACAGGCACTTCTCGCGCTCTCTCCTTTGAATGCTTTTCCTCATGTATTCCATATACAAAATGTATAGAAAACTTTATTTATAGAGTGGTGCCTTGTTCTAACGATCAAGTTGTTTGCTTCATAAAAGACTCTTTAGTTGAACACAATCACTGCTGTCTGTGTACCTCAATGAGAAATATGACTAGTAAGCGGAGAAAAATCATGCCAGGATTCTGATTTTGGTGGTTTAAGGTTTGAGGGTTGTTTCTATATGTAGATTTAACTTGGGCTTCATCGCACTATTTTTGTGTCCATCTCTATCTCATAGTGAGGATGTAAGCCCTCTACCAACTCAGCCGACCAGTGCCCAGTATATTAAAAAAACAAAATAGACACTGCTCCTTGCCATACTGGTGTTTGCCACCTTATCTATAAACATTGTATATGCAAGAACTATACTGTGTATTTGGGTTTGATTTTTATTGTGTAAGATGCTCTTTAATGATGTATACCTAAAGAAATTTGTGGTACGTTCTATTTTTTAATTCTTTTTTTTTTTTTTCAATAAACTGGGGAAATTTTTTTTCTGTTTTCTTATTTACAGTTGGGAGAACATCATGACAATTGGTTTAGGGTTCAACCATAGTTGGGCTTCACTTCATTTGTTTTGAAATATACAGTGCATATTTAAAAACACACGAATTATAGAATATCAGGATTCCATGTAAATCCCAGTCCTTTAAATTCTAAATATTTAATTGAAAAAATGATGTGTCAAATCTCAAAGCTGATAATATTAATCTGCAATATTCAGATATATAATAATTGTGCCCAGAAAGGTATTTAAAATAGTAAGGATAATGGCTTTATATGCAAGTAGCTATCTCTTTCTAAATGTTGAATTGCAAAGAATTTACAGGGTTTTTTTTAATAGACAGGGAACAAGGCTGAAAAATATTAAATGGATATTAAGGCAAAGCTGTTTGAAACAATAGATTTCTGTAGTGAAAGGCACTGCATTAGTTCAGGAACACAGTTCATGACACTGCATGCACCAATTAAACAAAGCTCCGCTATAAAACAAGAAAGGTAAACAAGATGCAGAAACACTCCACCTATGGGTCTGACCTCATTTGAGAAAAAGTGTTTGTTTTTGTCTGATTAATCTAAATTTGACATTCTTTTAGTTTTGATCGGTGACTCTGCAACAATCCAGGTATATCACTGGAAGGTTTGGATCAGCCATCAAACAGGGCAACAACAGACTACAAAGGACTGTGAGGTCTGCAAAAAAATAAAACACACCCTAGACATGACCTCTTCCAACTATTCCCCTCCAGTAGGTGCTATAACAAGCAGTGTCACTACTAGAATTTGGCAACACTGGGACCTTACACAGGTTGCACAGGTATTCCAACAACTCCAGGAAGGTACAGCAATACTTGCCATTGCCAGAAAGTTTCCAGTGTCTCCCAGTAATAGTCTTAAGAGCATAAAGGTTCCAAGAGACAGGCAGTTACTTTAAGAGAGCAGGAAAGGTACCTGCTCCTTTGTGCAAGCAGACTTCAGAGGGTGGCCTGAGGCATTGATGTCCTCTGGGTCCTGTGCTCACTGGAGATGATATGTATTCATATTATTAGCAGGTAATGTAGATGTTTAAATGTTAGGGATTTTAATGTTAATCAGAGTGGTGATGAGTGGGAGGAACAACAGCATGGCCCCAAACTGAAATGGTCTCACCCAGTGGAAACACAAGACACACTGAAAAGAAAAACGACTGACCAAGGCTCCAAAATGTTTAATAGTAAGACAAAGCTCAAACAGTTTGTCTCCTGAGTTAATGCTTTCAGAGAGAAGAAGAAATGCAATACATTGTCCCTCTATCAACGGTTCCATTTCCTCTTTTGATATTTGCAATTTTCAGTCAAGAGCAGCATTTAGTTGCTATTTGCATGTTTAACAGACTTTCAGACTCTTTTTTTTTTTTTAAAACAAGGTTCTATTTTTTAAGTATTTGGATGCAGCACTTAAGCAAATGTGGGCTGGTGGAAATTTATTCAAGCATAAATCCTGCCACTGAAAAACAAGACACCAGTGTGATCTTGCAGAAGAGAAGACGGAAGCAGCGCTGTGTGTAGAATTTTTTTTTTTTATCAGAATTTTATCCTTTTTTATTCCTAGATTGAATTTTGGCTTACAAAAATGGGGATGGTTGTAATATTTGTCCTCTCCAGCTTGGTGGGTGAGTCAGATTATATTTTTAATACATTCAAGTATGTGAACTTGTTTTATTTAGAAGTAGTCATTGACATCATCCATTTATTATATATTTCAGTAATCTCAGTTATGTTTTTGAAAGATTAATTATTTCAGCTTGTCATATTTCTACATATCGGTTCAGTATATATCTACTTATGTATTCATTTTTGTTTAACTCTGAGTTCTGCTTCAGTGAACCACATTTCCTGTCAAAACAGATGGCTGTGCTATCATGATGACATTTTCGCTTCAGTCGTTCTGGTTACTTATGCTATACAATTATAGATCATTTGGCATTTTTAAAGCATATTTTAATACTTTGTCAGTTTTGAATATGGGTTGTGAAATTATATGCAGTCATCATTAAATAATCGGAGACCTCAATAACAAATCCTACAACATAACCTGTCTTAACTTGCGCTTTCTTCAACAGTGGGTTTTGCTTGGGGTGAGCTGATTTTAGAACCAGACAGACCCTCACTGAGTGTGCCAGTCTCTGAAAATGCTTCACTGGAATGCTGCTATAAATCACTGTCAGGGAGAGTGAATGTCCGCTGGATCCACCATTATAACAATACTCAGCAGACATTGTTGGAACAAACACCTGAATCACAAGATTCAAAATCTGGAAACATATATTGTGCCCAACTGAACTTCCCTAAAGTAAAGCTGGAGGACCTCGGATTTTACCATTGTCTGCTGAATGATAGTGGCGACACATATTACACACATGGAACCTACCTGCGTGTCTACAGTGAGTGTGTGTGTGTGCATGTGTTGTTGTTGGGGCGGGGTGTCACTACTTCATAAGCCATAAATCCTGTTATTGTTAATCTGCCCAAAAGCTGTGAAAGTGGCAACATCCATATATATTCAACTTATTTAATCTTTACATCTTCAGGATTGTTGCATTGCAGTATGCTGCACCATTCATTCACTTTAAATAGCACCAAAATTAGAATTACATTTCAGTCAATGTGCAAAGGCACTAGTCACACTGAAAGGCCACTTCACACACTAATCTCATTAAAACCAGATGGTAGATGAGGAAACATAAAACTGCCAATCTGAGGGATTATGTGTGCGATAACCTGCATTGTTAACGTGACTTAACAGTACCACCAATTGTATGTTTAACTGTGATCCTTATGCTAAATTTAACCGTTATATAACAAAACTATCAGTCTCATAATAAATCTCCCGGTAAGGCTTTTGAGTAATTATTTTGTTAGCCTGCGTTTTCATGTGCAGGCTAACAAATACGCAGCATTCACGTGTTCACACTTAAAGTAGAAAAAGATAACTCGTGTTTAAAAACCAATACATGCAACTACTAATTTGTTTGTTTGACCTCTGAACCCTTTCTGCATTCCTAGAGCCAATGGAGAAGACCATAAACCTGAGAGAAACCACCAAAAACAAGATCCTGATAGCTGAGGGATTCTTACTGTTAATGTGTGTGATGCTGCCTTCTGCCATTCTTCTGTTCAAGGTCAGAACGTTGCATTATTATACAATGATCAGCAGCACTACTGTTGAAGCTATGCTTAATTTCAAGCATTTTCCCAAAAGAGCATTACTTTTAATGTATTATTCATGCATTAAAAAGTAATGGCAGAGCTGTGCGACTCTGGCATGGATTTTTTTTTTTCTTCCTTCTCAGTCAACAATGGGAATTTGCAACATTTGACTGATTTATTACTTTTGGTTTGCCCTACAGTCAAAGAAGCTTAATGAACTGGAGAAAAAGAAAGCAAAGAAAGAAGAGGAAAATATATATCAGGTCAACATGACATATTCTCAATCTCTTTCCATTACACAAGGCAAAGCAGGAAAGCAGGAGCTAAGAAATGAACACCATTTCTAGTTCTTGTTGTTGATGATGTATAAATCTTTCACTGATAATAGCCTTTGCATGATTTCCTTTTTCATTTTCTCAAAAACCAGGGGCTAAATCTGGATGACTGTTGTGCAACATATGATCAGATTGAACGCTCCCAAGCACAGGGCCCGTACCAGGATGTGGGCAACATTAAGGAAGAAGAGGAAGAAATCCAGCTGGAGAAACCATAAAACAAAATGAATAACAGACAGTTACGAGTGTTACATGTAAATAGCAGGCTTCTTACAACACGCTCTGATTTCAGAGTTTTGTATTCTGAAGGTTTTTATTTTTTAAGATTTTATCTGTATTTGTCAAAACAATCTTAACACAATATCCACTGGTCTGCAACCAGGATTTTAGAAATACGTGCTTATCAACATATCAACTATAAACTTTTTTCAGTTTTTTTATGATGTTTTTAAATATACTTATTTAGATTTTTAAATATATGTAGGTGTTTTGCTTTAGCTTTTTTATTCTAATTTTGCACACAGATTCCAGAAAATAATGACGGGTCAGACTGGTTACTTATGCATCCCAGGTTGCGTTGTCGGCTTTTTAAATATTCATTGACGTACATCTGCAACATTTATGTGCTTTTTGCTATTTCTGTGAGTGCTGGAATAATAAAATAATGTTAAAAAAAATCCATCAAATCTCTCTGTAAATTGTCTGAGTAATACAATTGCCCTCTGTGTGCAGTGAATAGGATAGGATTGTTTCTTTTAGAGGGTTGCACAATAAAGAGAGTAGGGCGGCACTTACAAAATTTTGATTTGTCCTGATTGGTTACTAAACAGAAGTAGGTTTTCATTGGCTTACATTTCTGGCGTGGGCGTGGTCTAATGGCTTCCCAGGTAGATCCGTTATAAGAAATGTGAAAGGCGGTGCATAAACAGAGTGGGCGAATATGGCGTCCAGCAAGAAGGGTAGTGGGACTAGCAGACTGGAAAAAGGTGTGAATGGAAGGCGCTCGTCCAAACACAAAGAGGGTCCACTGGGTGAGGTTTTTTTT